ACACACACACACACACACACACACACACACATATATATATATATATATATATATATATATATATTATAAAAATATTAGATGATATGAATATGTGAATGAAATAACTATATAGAATGAATATATAAGCATGTTGAATAATGGAGTTCACCCACTTGTGATATTAAAAGGGGACGTTCACATACCCATACAAGTAAATTAGAAGTATCTTAAATGGTACATTTTAAACATTACTCCTACACCAATATTAATATATAGAAAATGAAATAAATTAAGATATTGTCATGTATAATACTCAGAACCATCTTAACTATGTATCTTTAAATAGTAAACTATCAAATTTTCATATATTAATTCATTATACTTAACAAGCAAGCATGTTAATTACTTTAAAGAAATAAGTTTTTATTTAATAGTTACAATTCACCATGTTTTAAACAAGCATTTTCGAGTTTCAAACTAGAATAAAAATAAAAGAAGAGAACTTTTATCAAAGATGCAATTAAGCTAGAGAAAGATAATTTCATTCAAGATAGATTACTTAAAAGTTGAATTCTTTTGATTTACTGGAACATTATTAGTTAACGCAATCACTTAAATTTAAATTTCTTCACCAACAGCTAGTTCCCGTCATAAAAATTTCAAGCTCTCAGGCTAAGTCCTGACATATACCTAGGACTAAACTCAACTCATAAAAAACCAATATTATATCAATTATATCGCCATAATCACTCTAAAAGATCTTACACCAATAAGGTCAAAACATGTGTCCTTTAATAGTGTGATTTTCCTGCTAAACAACACCACAAAAAAAAAAAAAAAAAGTTTTTATTGAGACCCACTTACTAGATATTCAACGCAAAATGACACTATTAAACTAAGACTACGAACAAAACTCATAAATTCTCTAATGGCTCAAACCCTTTAAATGGTGAATCATAGAGTGCACTTAATACAATACAAATCTTTCTATTAACTAAGATCTGCTTTAAACTATACCCTTAAATCCTTCAACCCCGGGAGATTAGAACAACTTTGTTATTGTTAAAGTGCGGACAGAAACTTAAATGAATAAGTCAAAGCTCCACCAATTCCGAGAGACTGACGCGAGGCTCGGGAAGGACTAAACAGTCTGTGTAAGGGTGAAAAGGTTCAGCCAAGGGGAGGGTCTTCCCCCTCTTAGTTATCCACTAATATAAATATGTTATTTTCTTTGTTTAAGTTTAGTTTTTGTTTTGTTTTTTATAAGGGCAACCGTCAACATCCCCAGTTTTTCCTCTTAGGGTTTTATCAGATGACAAAAGGTGCTCATGTTGTCTCGCTCCGAGGTGTTGATTATCCTTGACTTTCCCATTCTTTGAAACTTGCCCTCACTGCTCTCCTTAGCATATTCTTGTTGGTCATCGCAAACCTTCATATCTGACTGCCGCAACCCCCATCTCCTCCCGCCTACTACTTGTTGTCGACCTAACCTGCCGACCTGCTCGTTGATCCCACATCTTACGAGCCGACAAGCTAGCAACCACCTTTCCCCTACCTTCTTACCTTCTGTACAAAACCAAAAACTGCCCCTCCTGCTGGTTGCCGCCTTCCAACCTTCCACCTCCTTCTTACAGCCCATTTCAACCCTATTCCCCTTGGTTATCCAAGCACCAGACAGCCTCCGTTTCACTACCCAGGACCACCCACCCACCTACCGCTCTCAGAGTCCACCACCTCAATCTCACCCCACCCCTTTTCGTCCTAGCCCTAAGATGTCTTTTAAGTTTGTGTTGTTAATTTCCTAATGTTAGAGTCTTTGTTTGTAACTATTTTGAATTTCATAAATAACATGCATATTTCTATCATGGTTTGGGTTAACTTCGGTATCATGTCATTTTCTCGTAAAAGAATGCATGAAAGCGCTGCCATTGGGTGGGTGGTTTAACCATCTTTTACAACAAACTTGGTTTCGAAATCAGTAATAAAAAAAAAAAGGAAACTAACCTTAAGCATTTCCATTTCTTCCTTCGTTGGGCAAAACTTGATGAGATTTTCAACTTGATCAAAATCCAGTGTTGTAGTATCCAAGGTTAAAACTGTATTCTGCGAACAAAAATAAAGCAAATTAAACAAATTTACCTCTTTCCATTCACTATGCTCGATCATAAGTAGAAATGTTCGTCAAATAAGTTATGATACCCACAAATGCACCCATCCATTAGCCACAATATTTGTCATGAGATCATATGCTTAAATGCAGTAAACTCCAAAAAAAAAAAAGTTTACACAATCCAAATATATAAATCAAGCACAATAGTTGCTGCATATCCTGGGTATAATATTAGATGAAGTTCAGTGTATAATCTAAAAAGGCAAATTTACCAACAATAACTAAAAAAGTAAAAGTCTCTCCATTTGAAACATTTCCCTATTTAAATCTCTGATCCAGCAGAGTCACTCAAAATCAGGCATGACCATTGAGCATACCAACCTCCTTGAAGAGGTGCTAACTGTAAAAAGATGTTAATTATCTTTATAGACAACATAATTGTTATTAAGACCAAAAGCATAACCTAAATCTAATCAATGTATATAAATAGTATATATAATGCAAGTTCCATCAGAAAGATCAGTAACAGGGCTCTAATCAACCAGCAAAGGATCAGTACGTTGAAACCTGTAGACAAAAGTCACCTAAGGGATTGTTAAATGGTTTCTCAAAAATAGGATTTGTTTTAGAAATTTTTCTTCAGAAAAAGCAGATTACAAAATGTGTCTGTGAACTATTTTGGAAAGCGGTTACAGAAAAAATACAAAAGCATAATCCATAACCAAATAAAGCCCAAGAACCCAATATTGAAAAAGAAAAAAAAATCTAAGAGAAAAAGGCTGTTCAAGAAATAAAAACCAACAATAAGCAATGTTTCCCACCTAGTTGGTACTATGTAATGTCTGTATATAATAAAGATTTAATTAAAAAAAATTTCCTAACTAATAATGTCGGTTTGAACCAACCTGAAAGTTGTTCATTAAGTATAGGGCATCTCATTCAAGCCAGTGGGAAAAAATCGCGAACGTGAACAACGTGAATGTTCACGTGAATGAGAGACGAAGTTCAGGTGAGGAAGAAGAAGAAGAAGAAAGATAAAATCCTAGCCACAAATCAGGAGAAAAAGTGTCAAAGCCATAGAAGGAAGTGCTTGAGGGCTAGGGAGGCAAATTCGACGACATTCAGACTGCTCTCAGTGGGTTCGCTAGCTTGCAAGAAGAGAAGCGGCTTCAATTTCAGAAAGGGTAGGAGGCTATTCAAGCGTCGAACGAGAGTTTCAGACGAGCTTCAGAAGTACTGTGCGTGTTGGCGACCAAAGAGAATGCGTGAACTTACGTAGAAGAAGGAAAAACTATTACGTCCAGGTCCGGACGTAAAGCTGCGTCCGGACGCCAATAAAATTTTGCCACATTTAAATCTAGGGCACACCGATAAAAATACAAAAAAGTGTTATCTATAATGTGCTACCCGGCCTGTTGACTCAAAAATTAAACGTACAGAATCATAACATCAGGATCATTGCATCGAAAACAAAATTGTTGCACCGGACGCAATATTTTTTCGAAAAGAAAACACAGCTGCCTGGCTCTTCGTCATTCGCCATCGGTTAAGGTTTCTCATTGCATGACTCACATAGCTAAGGTTCGCACTGTCGTTCGTCGGTCGAGATATATTCAAACTCTCTCTTCACAACAATGTAAGAGAAGAAGAAAATCGAAGAGCCTGAAAAGAAGAAGTTGAGAGAGCCTAAGAAGATGGAAACCAAAGAGCCTAAGAAAATAGAAAAGAAAGTGTGTAAGAATAAGGAAGCCAAAAAGCCTAAGAAAAAGGACACCAAAGAGCCTAAGAATCATCCGAAGTCATCCAGGCAATTTTATTTGTGGTTGTACTTTCATTCAAAAACCTATTGTAATCGAAAAAAGCATTGTATAACAATAACATCATAATATCAGCTAAATAACACCACACTAATACTACAATAACACCAAGATAATACCAAAATAACAAAAAATAGCACCGAAATAACATCATAATAAAACCAAAATAACATCATAATCACAATTCAATAGCACTATAATAACAGTCGTATATCATCAATATAACACCACAATAACTCCTTAATAACATCATAATAATATCATAATAACACCAAAAATTAATTTTGATGTTCTTATGTTACTGTATTGATATTGTGATATTTTGTTATTGTATTCATGTTTTTTATATACCGGAGTGGTGTTATTATAGACAATTATAGAAAACAAAATCTTTTTTTTTTTTGCATTATAATATCATAATAACACCAAAAATCAATTTTGTCGTTATTCTATTATTGTATTGATATTGTGATATTTTGTTATTGTATTCATGTTTTTTATGTACCGAAGTGGTGTTATTATAGACAATTATTGAAAACAAAATGACTTTTTTTTTTGGATTATCTTTTTTTCGTAGATTTATGAACTCAAGGTCTTTCATTTGTAGAGGTCGTCCATTCATAGTAAAAGATGCTCTTGATAAGGTCAGGCTTACCATAATTGAGGAGGCTAGAAATAACTTGAAAATAATGAATGTAGATCAATATGATCTCCCACCGTATCCTCAAGACAATGTCCTGACACTGCATACATTGAAATGTTGGGATTATGAACGAATGATATTCAGATTAGATTCTGATCAAGTTGTCCTATTGATAGACATGCCCAACAGAGTAGTAAATTCGAATAAAGTTCTCTCTTGTGATGTGGATACTAGAGAAATAAAGAATGACATGGTGAAGGATTCAACAGGGGAGTGTTCTACACCCTTTGATAAATTGTTTTTAAAGTTTCTTTTACCAAATTTATTTTTTCCTTCTAATAATTTTAGTGTGCCCAAAAGTCTTTACACCATCAGTGAAAATGTACAATCTTTCTCCTCCTTTAATTGGTTTGCTGCAGTATGTGTTTTCCTCATTGATCAAATTAATGTCGTAGCCATTAAAATAAGGTGGAACCAGTCATTAGGATATATCAATAGATTTTTTTTCTCCGAACTACTTTTCCCAAGGCATATTATGACAACTCTTTTACACGACTCTGAATTTATGAGCGTACATCTTTGGTCACTCCTGCCGCACCTGAGGCCAGACCTCACATGCTGAGAAGGCCCACAAATGTGAGCTGGAACTCATCACAGATTCATCTAACCTTACAGAGACTCAATCTGTAAAGGTAAGTCATTTATCTTATTAGATAGCTTTTTCATTTTTGAAAAATTAGAGTTGTTAAACTTCTATTGTATTTGTGTTATTAGAGTTGTGTTGTATTTGTGTTATTAGGTAATATCCCTATTGTATAATGGTGTTATTGTATTGTTATGTAAGTGTTATTATGATATTATTTTGGTATTTTTGTGGTGTTTTTGTTGTGTTATTTTTCTGTTATTATAGTATTATTGCGGTGTTTCCAAGAGATTTTTATTGTAGGTTTTGTTGAAATGTTATTTATGTGTTATTCTAGGTTTTTTAGGATATTTTTTTCTGTTTTATTGAGGTGTTTCGTCGAGTTGTTATTTTGGTATTATAATGTAGGTTTTATTCTGGTATGATCGTATTATTTAGGTGTTATTCTAGTGATTTACTGGTGTTATTTAGGAGTTATTTAGGAGTTATTTCAGTTGTAATGTTTCTGTTTTATTGGGGTGTTATTCTGATGTTATCTTCGTTTTATTTTTATGTTATCCTCGTGTTGTTTATGTGCTACTAGGTTTATTTAGGTGCTAGGTTTGATTTGAGTGATTAGAGCCAGTGTTATTCTAATGTTAGTGTTGTGTTTTTGTGTATTATTTAGGTGTTCTAATGTTTTTTTTTTTGTTATTGGAGCTATAATTATGAATGTTTTGTAATTCTGAATTTCATTGTAGGTACACAATTATTTTTTGGATATGAGAGAAGATGAGCAATCTTTGCTCGTCAATCTAGACGAAGGATTACCCAGTCCAGTTAGGTTATTCTCACACCATGAAACTCACGCCACACCACATTCAATCATATGGTGTGGGACCACTCATTTCAAGCGATATCACACAAGAGCCAACTTATACCAGAGTCAATAAAGACCTTGAAGTAATAATTCAGTTACTTAGAACTCAAGAAAAATTGTTTATAAAATTTCCAGCATAAATAAATAAAATAAATGCACGAGCCTCTGATTTATAAGACATTGTCAGAACTCAAGACTGAGGTTAAGAAACTAGAAAAAAACAAAAATTAATAAAGACAATGAGTTAAAAGAAAAATGAATACACCAATCCTCTCTTGGCAGCTAGAAGGAAGAAAAAATTGAGTTCCTTTTATACTACATTCGAGTTAAAGAGAAGAAAAATAATAAAGGATGTTCTTGAACAACATCCTACAAAAGATGTTTTAGATACTCCAGCCGTAAAAGCTGAGGATTTGCTAGCGCATACAGAAGATTCAGAGGAAACAATACTAAAAGTTGTTATGTCGAAAAGGGCCAACAAACAACAACAGAAGACGCAGATACTTCACTCAATGGAGAAAAACCAATAATAGAACTATTGAGGAAATAATTATATAAGTTGCTCTAGATAGTCAAGCCCAAAAGAGCCAACAAAGAATAACATAAGATGCAGATAATTCAGTCATTCGAGAACAATCAATAATAGCATCAATTGTACATACTTTACCCGTTGGGCAAGAAAAACCAATAACAGAAGATTTTGACATATTACACGAAGATTCTGATAAAGTGGAACAAACAATAAAGGATGTTGTTCAGTCTCTTGTGCTTACATTGTCAACTTTTGCAAGAGAACAGCAAGGCATCTAGAGAGAAAGTGTCCATGCAGACGACTATGAGCCACATCTTGAAATGCAGGTATTAAAAAATAACTCTTTCTATTGTGTCCCGCATCTTCTAATTTGACATCATATATTTCATAAGTATTATGGTTTTGTAGCCTTTCCATCCCACGGCGACAGTCATAGATTTTCCTACCAAAACTGATACCTCTTGAAACGCAGGAAGTGATCGATGAATGTCTTTCCAAACACACCGATATATCGTTAAATTTTCACAATTTTTATGTTATGCAATAGTTTTATATTTAAATGTCACAAAGATTTTGTGTTAACGCTACATGGTGAAAAGTGTGCAAGGGCCGCTACACCGGCGCCCGGGTGTGGAGTTAAATAAGCAAGAGTTCCCACATTATGAAAGGATGCGGATAAAGAAGTTAGTCCATGAAATAAATGAAACTAATATTATGATATGATCTTGAAATATAGGTACTCTCAATGGTAAATTAATGGAATTAGTTAATATTATGATTTATACAAAGATAAATACTCATGTATTCAAGAAACTAAATGGGTTGGAGAAAAGGTTAAGGAGATTGATAACTTAAGTTTTAAACTTTGGTATTCTGATAAGAGTCGTACTAGAAATGGTGTAGGTGTAATTATAGATAAGAGTTTGAAAGATAATGTTGTAAAAATTAATAGAGTTAGAGATAGACTTATAGCCCTTAAGATTATTATTGATACTAATATTTTTAATATTATAAGTGCATATACTCCTTTAGTAGGTTTAGATATAGGGTCTAAAGATAAATTTTGGAATGACTTAGAAGACTTAATGCAAATGATACCTCTTGAAGAAAAAGTTTTTATTGGAGAAGATTTAAATGGACATATCGATAGAGTAATAGAAGATTTCAGAAATATTAATGGTGGCTACGGTTTTGGAGTAACTAATAAAAAAGGTAGAGTCATTTTAGATTTTGCTTTAGCTTATGATTTTGTTATTACTAATACTTTATTCAAGAAAAGAGATGAGTATATTATATTTATAAGAATTGATCTTATAAAATACAAATTAATTATTTTCTTATGACAAGAAGAGATCGTCGAGATTGTAAAGATTGTAAGGTCATTCCAAGTGAGAATTTAAGCACCCAAGATCGATTATTAGTTTTAGAATACTAGGATTCATCATCGTAGAATTAGATGGGGAAACCTAAAAGACAAATATAATTACTTTTTGAAATTCATACCACTATATAAAGTGTTATTGCTCGTCGTCGAGCAGCCAAAACGAGCCATAAACAACCAGCATTGCCCGTCAGCAGCCGCTGCGAGACACCCGCCACCGTCGTTCGCCGCCCACTACCATCGAGGCCATTGCAAACCAGTCATTGGCCATCACCACTGCCCGCTTGTCTTGGGCCACTGCGACCGCCCGCCACAGTCGCCGCCCTCCGTTGTCGTCACCGTTGGCCACCTCCATAGCCTGCTTCTGACCATCAACGTCGTCCGCCATCGGCCACCACCGACTAAAACATTATTTTTATTTTATTTCAAACTAAACAATAAAAAATAAAGTTGTTTATTTTACACATAACCAAGAACTCCAAAGCATTTTAAATACAATACATTACTCCTACATTGCATTTATTTTACACTGCATTATTTTTTCAACAAACCAAATAGCCCCTTAGAAATATAATAATTTGGTTGCTATGGTGATCCAGTTTAAAAATAGAATAAATCCTTTGATATGAGAATCTATTCTAGTAATAGAACAGTTTAGTTTATTATTTTTTTTTTTTGGATTTCTATATAAGTCAATGCATAATGTATATATATTAGTTAGTGTGCATAATGATATATATGTTTGAATTTCATTCCACGTTTCTTGTTGTAAGCAAACCAAAATTGTTCTTCAAAATCATGAATATGACAGAAAGAAAATCTATTTCTAAAATGCTAATATCAAGCATAACAATGAAAACCTGAAAATGAAAAAAAAATTAATGTTATTCAACATTTATTGGTCAAGTATTGAAGCTAAAAAAAAACCACACATTTTTAATATCCATGATGATCTTAAGATCATTTTGTAATGCTTTTCAAATACTTGTATTTCACAAACCACGCATGTTATAACTTTGATTTGTATAGCATGTGCAACAAATAAAAGTTATAATGCAGGTGTACCTCCTCCAAGGCATCACAGCCATGGGCAACAAATTTGCAGTGAAACTTGTCGATCTCTCTGTGAGCAAAGGTTATTTTTTACATACCGAATAACAAATCACTGCAACTACAGTTTTTAAGCCCTAGAACATGAAACAATTACAAATGTCGAGAACAAAGCAGTGTTTAATTACAACTCTCCAAAAAAGTACAAGCTCCTCAATCCATTTGAAGCATTTATCAACATAAATAAATAAATAAATAAATTGGCAAAAAGCAGCACATATACGAAAGGATCCATGAGAGCTATTCACTACTTGAAAAATGACATGAAGGAGTATCGAGTAAAATTGCAAAGGAGCGTGCAACACTATATACCAAATGACCACCAAAAGAGTCAACACCAATACCGTTAGCCTTATCTCCCAACTCTTCGGGGTTGACTTAATGAGAACCAAAAGTGTATACAGAAAAAAACATGCAGTAAACTTAGTCGGCTGAATAATGAAGAAACTTACTATCATCTTAGGGAGTGGCATCTTAATTTTTGTCAGCATGATTTCACAATTATTTGCTCTGCGCATGTCAACCTAAATGATAGCAGATTTTAGTGCATTAGCATGGAAATTTAATAATCATTAATTGAAAAGTAAAAATTTTAACAAAAACTTCATATTAAAAGTGCACAATTGCAACAACAAACAAAGGAACAAATAAAAAAGAACATAATGTTGTCTCACATTTCTATGAATAATGGTAACTATGAAGAGAGGATGTCATAAGCAATAATACAATAAAAATAATTGAAATATTGCAAAAACAGTTAAATTTCACCCTAAACTATAAGTTCCTGCAATGGAGAAAAATATTAATCTCAACAATCATGAAAGGAAAACATTTCAATAGGAAAAAACCACTAACATAATTCAAGCCTCACCAGCTTATGGTCCTTAACTCAACCTCCTACACGCTCGCTCGAATTCTAATAGTTTAGTTTGAATAAAAATCGAATCTGTAATGAACTAAAAACATATCATAAGAGGCAAACCCACACAAAAGGGCAGCAAAAAGACAGGCTTGTTAGGCTGGACTTAGTACTCGCTCACCAGCAAATTTGTCATCTTGTTCAGGACAGGAGTTCATTGGGCAAGCGCAAAGAGGGCTCGCCAGCCGGGAAGCAGGATAACCCTCCTTGAGGGGTTCAAGACGTTGCCTAGCAGAAAAACAAATTCTCATGCTCATAAAAAAGAAACATCCAGCAAGGCTCAAAGATAGCATCATTTGTACTTGCACATTGCCCGACAAATTAAAATTTGAGGTCTGAGTTTGTGTTGAGGCCATAAGCATTTTAAATTTCTGCCCTTATCCAATATGTATTGCTTTTTCTGCAAACCCATTTTGTAACGGCCCAGAACCCAAATCCCAACTTATAAATAAGAGATCCTAAAGAGAGCAAAGGTTCAACTCTTCTAGACGTCCAATCCACCATTATAGTTCCTTAAGCCTTTTCTAGTAGATACGTTTTTTTTTATTACATCTCTCTTTTCTTCCCGCCACTTTTCCTTTGAATCAGTAAGGTTCAAATGTGAGCTGCGGACAAAACAGTATTCAACAACATACATATTGGATTAAGTCTGTAATTTTATTTTATAAATTTCAATAATTTGTGTTGTGGATATTAATTCACATAAATTATTTAATCATGATATACCATATGGTCGTATAGATGCAAAAAAATATTTGTTAGTGATAAAGTTACATTGGGTCCATCTTGTTCCTTGCACAGAAAGGTAGGCAGATGAAATATCATTAAAATCTTTTAGAATTTAGAGCAAGATCTACGCCAGGAATGAAAGCATATAGTTGGTTCTATTCTTCGGTCTTTTCCATCGGGTTCAAGGTCATAACCATTATATTTTAGAGCTAGAAATATTTCTAAACCATCTCTACAAAACACAATCAGGTTATTTTGCCAACTAACAAGCAAGGAAATGTCGCATGGTTGTCACTTACTGCTAGGAGGCAAGGAATTTCCAAAACAGGAACAGACGTTCGGACGATGAAAATAGTTTCAATTACTAACACAAATAAAAAATTAATATACAATGAATTGAAAGAGCCACTAATGAGTGTAATTTGAACTAATTTAAAATAAACAATTAAAAAAGGAGTTTACCTTGCTCTATGATGGTCACGTCTTTGATATACATTTTTTTTTTCTATTACTCATTTCTAATTCAAAATTTAAACAATTTGATCTTGATTTTCTGAAGCTTATCTTACATGTGTATTGCATATTTAATTCCTTTATGTTATTGTAATTTTAGGAATGAGTATTTATTGAGTTTGCTTATATCTGACCATGATAAACTATCATTTTTAGGTTTTTAATTATTTACTAAGAAATGAGTAACAATAACAACAACAACAACAAAGCCTTAATCCAACTACGCAGGGTCGGCTACATGAATCATTTTTCTCCATTGCATACTATTTAGTGTCATATTTTCATTTAGTTCTAATAAATTAAGATCCTTTTTTAAACAATAAACCCAAGTTTTCCTAGGTCTACCTCTACCTTTCTTAACATAAGTTGAATCTAAAACATCTACTGTCCTAATTGGATCATTAGATGGGAAATGAGCAACAAAAGGGAAAAAATTTATAGAAGGTACAAACAAGTTAGAGGAAGATAATTATAATCAAAACTATTCTACTTTTAGATTTATTTTATCGTTAATGGATTTGAAATATTTGGATGATTCTATAATTACTTAACGATAGTATTTGAAATTAAATTTTGAATTTTCACAGTCTATCCAATCACATTGTGACACCCCTGTAGAGAATCAAACAGGAGAGTCTAAAGAGACGAGGTGAAGAAGATGGCAAAGATGGTGACATCCCTGTGCAAGAGCAACAGGTTTCGTGCAAGCTATGGTAGACCCAAGAAAACAAGCATAAGGATATATCATGCAGTGTGTGGTTGAGTGAGACGAAGGTGGAGTTGGTGTATCTCCCTTGGCAACCTTACCTTATTGAAGTCATCGTTTCATGAATCTCTCCGCTATTTTCAATTTGGATGATAGCCAAACATCTTTTATCCCAATCATATATTATCATCAACCTCCCACATTCTCATTCCCTGACTATTCTACAACTAGCTCCCTACAAGACCCATTTCCTAAACACCGTTTAGGAACCCTAGACAGTGTCACTATGATAATTCTAAAATTATAAACTCTTTATTTTAAAAATTAAGTTCAAGATAATTAAGTTACACATACTCTCAATCAGGATGTCTTGACTATAGGATAGAATCTTAAGTTTCACCTGATTGGTTTGATCCCCCCTTAAGAATTGAAGTTGAGACTGATAATTTTTTTAATATTAAAATGACATTGATATAGTCTAGAGCTCCTAGAAGGTAAAAAAGGATTTGGCAGAAAAATATCGCTTAGACTTAAAGGGAAAATTTTACAATATGAGGACGACACCAGCAATGTTTTATAGCACAGAATGTTGGCCTGTAAAAGAGATGCATAAAATTAAGTTAAGTGTTGTTGAGATTAGAATGCTAAGAAGGATGAGTGGCTTTACACTTGGAAACAAAATGTGAAACAAATATATCCGTTAAGATCCAATGGCAAACAAAACTAGAGAGAATAACCTTAGATGGTTTGGTCACAATAAACATCGACCATCTAAAGACCCGGTTAGGAGAGTAGATGTTTTAGAATAGACCTGAGCATGATGAATAAAAAATGCTCTTAGTTTATTAGAATTAAATAAAAATATGACACTCAATAGAACACGACGGAGAAAAATGATTCATGTAGCTGACCCCACTAGGTGGGATAAAAGCTTGTTGTTTTTATATTCAATAAATGATAGAGTATTTGCTTGGTGGTGTTAATTTTCTTAATTTTATAGACTAAGACGACATCGTAAACTTTCGAATATGTTTGCATCATCCGGCCGAAAATATCTTTGTTTATGATTAAAAACATGTTGGTTTCACTAAAATATGGTTTCATTAGTCTCCTTAACCATGCCATAAATGAGCATTCTTCTACCATCTCATGGGGCAAATATCATATCTCACTTTGTACCTGAATAATAAGGTTGCCCAGCTTTCTTTATTCTTTGAGAAATATTTTCAAAATCTGGAACCAAACAAAAAAATTTCTTTCATTCAGTTTAAACAAAGATTGACGATATCAATACTCAAACACTAGAGTTTGGTAGGAACCATTCAGTTGGTCCATGGCTTGTGATATAGATGCATTCTTCTTGAAAAGAAAAAAATTCTGTTAATGTTGATTGTATGTCAAAACCACATGTGCTTGGCATATTTTTTTCCTATTAGTTGATACCTTGCGATTAGCAATGCTAACAGCTTATTAAACTTTGGCTGCAACAAAGTCAGCTACTCTAGAAGTGGTCTTCTTCCCGAATGTGGTTCTTCTTACTGCTGTAAGGCCAGAACAAGGAAGGCTGCTGACGAGAAATGTGAAACCGACCTTCTTGTTGAAAAGCTGGGGGAGAGGATAACTACTACAGGTGATAGGCACAGGAATTTTTTTCCTTGATCTCAAATGACATAAAGAGAGAACAATTGAATTGAATTTTGTGTATTTAATTGAGGACCCTGTTTATACAACAAGATTCTATGCTAATCTAGGTAATTTCTATGCATGGAAACAGCTAACTAGATAGTGATTACTTGACAAAATTCATTAGGCAAAATATACAAGAATTAATCAAGTTTATATACAAGTACATACGCAAACAAAAAAAAGTATTCTACAAGTTGCAGTATTTATTCAACTTGAATCCCAAGAGGACTTTCTGCTAAATTCCCATGGATTTCCATCATGGCAAGTAGGGTTTGGCCTCTTGTAATCCCATGAATTGCCAAGCTAGCCTAAAAAAACTGCCAGCATAATCCAAATTAATTCTCTAAAATCGGCATAACTTTTATTAGTCAATGTTTCATCAATCTCTCTTATAGCTTATTATATAACTGAGAATACTGATTTCTTTATAATAAACACTTTTTTTAAATATCTTTATTATTTAATATTAAATTTGTCATCCTCTTTATCTTTATAATTCGAATGAATAGATTTGATGATTAAACCAAATAAAATCTTCTATACAATTGCATATCTCAATAGGCATCTCATTTAAGTTTGGGGCTTTACCATTATGCTATCTTCTTTGAGCTGGCTCCATATCACTTGTTTTATCATATATAAATATAACTCATTATTATAATCATTATGCTCATTCAAAAAAGTTCTTTCTTAAAACTCATATTTAATAGTCTTTCAAAATAGTGTTTTCATTTTTCTTTGATAACTTAATCTTCATTTAAGATCATATTATCTTTGCTAATAATGAATTGGGCATGATTAAAGCCGCTATATCTTTTATATCATAGTTTAATCCTTTTATATATATATTATATTCAACTTCCTTATTATCAAACTTATTATATAAATGATCCGAAGTTTTAATTTACGCTTTGTTATCTACTCTCTTTTCAATTATTTTTAATTTTCATGTAATTATTATAAGCCTCATA